TAATCCAACCTTTTGGGTCATCACATATTTTGATCCAGAAAAAACAAAATTGGCCAAAAAGAAGCTTGGCCAAACATACTATTAGAATAAAGAGCTAAAACATGGAGTACTTGATACTTCGAGTAGTAACAGTACAAATCATACTAGTGATTAACATGGCATACTAGTGAAAAACTAGTAATTATTCCAACTAATTAATTACGTCAACTCCCATAATCCTTGGGTTCCTCGATCATTTTGCTACGTCTAAGTTCTAATTAATGAACATGTACGCTCGATGCATGCATAAAAGCAATAAATAATTTAGAAAGTAAGATATTTTCTTGTTAAACATGTTAAGGATAGGCAAATTCGAAATCAAAAATGGATTTGCTCTAAAGTCTAAACTAGTAGTAATACAAAAAAAATTACAGAAATATGACACTTTTTTGGGCGATCTTTTAACTTTTGACCCTCGCTAACTTTATGGGCAGAATTTTAAGGTTAAAAGTTAAGTGTTGCCCATGAGGCAAGCGAGGGAAAATAATTATTAAACTTAAAGTTCTACCCGTGTGGTAAGTAGGGCCAAAAATTCAAAACCATCCACTTTGATGGCTATTTGTGTACTTCACACATCAAAAAAAGTACAAAAATGTGACATTTTTTGGGGTAGTTTTTAACTTGGATCCTCGTTTGTCCCATAGGTAGAACTTCAAGGTAAAATGTTAAAAGTGTTGCCGATTGGGCAACCGAGGGGCAACATATGTTAAACTTAAAATTCTGCCCATGGGACAAACGGAAACAAAAATTCAAGATTACCGACTTTGAGGGTTATTTGTGTACTTGGCACATCAAAAAATTATAGAAATATGACACTTTTTGGGGGGTGGTCTCTAACTTTTGACCGCTGCTTGTCCTATCCGCAAGAACTTCAAGGTTAAAAGTTAAAAGATTTTGCCCATGGGACAAGCGAGGGACAATAATTGTTAAACTTTTGAAATTGAAGCAAACAGAGACAAAAATTCACGACCATCCACTTTGAGGACTATTTGTGTACTTCACCCACAAATTTCGTACTAGAAATTGAAAGGCCAATTCTCTACTGGATTTGAGCTACAACTAAAGATATGGAGATTCCATTTTCTGGGATTTTTACATAAATAGCCGGTCATATTCATTGTTTATTTTTTAGTCATATATATAAATTATACATTGATTATACTCAATATACATATATAATAAATAAATTATACGTATATATTATACCTTCACTAGCTATTTTTAATTTAAGTGGTTGGGTGAACGGCTATTACGGTTAATTCTTCTTCTTTCACGTTTCCTGAATTTTAATGGCTATAATTTATTGACAGACAAAATTATTAAGAGCATGAAAATGGGAAATCTCTTGAGACTAAAAAATTACTGAGATTCACCATGTTTTCAAGTGCGCATAAAGTGTATGAATTGTTGAATTGTTCGAAACGTAGTGAAATTTTATATCGTCACTTAATTATTTAGTTACTACAAAAAATATGTCACAAATCAAATTTCAATCAATAATATATTTTTTCTTTCATATCACCAGGTTTAACTATCTACCACGCCCCGATGATAAATAGAGCTTTGCCTAAGACGATGTTTGGATTAACTTATTTTAAGTGCTTATTGGTTTTTAAGTATTTTTTTAGTTTGTGTGGTGTTTGACAATAATAAAAAGTGCTTTAAAGCACTTACTTTTAGGCATAAAAAATACAAAAATAAGCCAAAAGCCAAAAGTTGAGTATTACCAACTTATGACTTTTGACTTTCTAACTTAAAAATTACTTTTTATAAATCAAGCCAAACACCCTCTAAGAAGCTTCTGGAGCTTTGGGTCCCTAGTAAAAAGATACTTAACAACTAAGGTTTTGATATTAGCTCGCAGTTTCTTTCTCTATTATTTTATTCACCAATTCACAGAAAACATCTTTTGCACATTAAGAAAGTAGTTCTATATATATATTAGCATGCATGTATATATGGAGGAGCCAGAGTCAAGACCAGGGGTGGAGCTAGAGTACGAGCTACGGATTCGGCCGAACCCAGTAGCTTTTATTCAAATTCTATATTTGTCTTAAAAGATCTATTGAATATGTATAAATTACTAATGTAGAACCCACTAACTTAAACAGTCAAGAATTCTGAACCCATAAACTTTAAATATTGGCTCCGCTTCTGGTCAAGACCGATTTTGCCAACAAAATATCTAAAATTTTAATGAATGAAAGTATTAAGATATTCAATTATATGTTTGATCTTTTCTTTGCAATGCCTGAGATTTATAAGTCACATTCTTAGATTGCGATTAAGGGACTTACTGTATGGATCAAAATCTGCCTTTAAAATATTTAAACCAAGATAATACTAAGGGAAGAGTTCCCAAGTCATCGTTTGTCGAGAAGGCCCAAGGAAGAGAAAAGTTTGTGGTCAAAGAGTTAACAAGAGCCGTTATCAACAGGAGCCGTAGTCGACAAGATCCGTGGCCAATAAGAGCCGTAGTCGAGGTGTCAACAAGAGACGAGGTCGAGAACCGTTGACATAGTTGTAACGACTAGTTTTCGAGATAGGACATTAGAGAGAATATTCTAGTGGATATTCTCGTACGTGCACTATTAAGGCTTCTTAATATAAATAGAAAAAGAGACAATGATAGGGGCATGTGAATTTCACTTTGTAAAGAAGACATTTTGACAAAAAGATTCGTCTCTCTCTCTTGCTAAGATACAAACACTATATTTTCACTAAGATTCTTGTTCATATTTTTCCATTAGATCCGAGAATAACTCGAATATTTAAGGATTTGTCTATCATTCATCAGTGCCAGGAGGAGCATCCACCTATTCCATCCTTTATTGGGTGAATCATTTCTCCTATTCACTTAAATGCCATTTATTGTTATTCATTACTATTAAATGCTATATTATTGCTCTTGATTTCTAGAATAGTTATTACATATTATTACCACTGTTCGTCCAGATCCACACGACATTTATTGCTTCTTTAGAAACTCCATCTAGGGATATTATTATTAAATAAGATTAAAAGCTAACAAAAATTTAATTATTTGAACCAAGATATGTATTTTTTGGTCAAATAATTTAGCGCCGTATGTGGGGATCTATTAGTTAAACTTTTAGTTTCTTCTAGATCTACAATTACCATAAGTCACTAACATCCAAAAAAATCAAGACCTCCTTTCTTTGTGTATACAAAATTCGACATGGCAGGTAACTAAGAAGAAAGGACGAGGATAACAAGTGACCTCCCAACCAACCTCATAAATGTCATCAACGAAATCTGTGAAATGATAGGTGAGAACACGATGCCTAGAGCGTCCCCTAGACGAGACGGGTCACCGCCCCACACTGCAGCATAACAAAACCTTGTGGTAAAGGAGCCTCCACGTCTGCAGAGGAAGGGACACCCCAGCTGTGAAAAAACTCCTCGAGGCATGGCTAACTGATACGCTAACAAGTGTACTCAATGAACCCGCTCCAGGCACGACTGTAGAAATCGCAAGGACTTGCACGATACAGCAAACAAATGAGCAGTGAAACTAGCCCCCACCTCCAACAACAGGTATAACTCACAATGTTATTGACAGTGCAGGTGACAACGCCCTAGCCTCCATTCTCAAAGGGACGGAAGAAATGGAAAATGAAAACAAAGTGCTCCAAGACTAGATGAAAGAACACCAAGAACAGGTTGATAAGATACCGGGCGTTCCTAAGCTGTTGCCGAAAAAGGACGTCGGCCGGTTCGCTGAGCATCCATATAGTGACGATGCAACCCCGCATGTCATACCAAAGACCATTAGAATGACGCCCTACCTCAGGATATACGACGACATGACCGATCCTGAAGATCATGTGACTCATTATGTCACCGCCGTGAAAGGCAACAACCTCACCAAAGAACAAGTGTCCTCCATTTTGCTGAAAACGTTTGGCGAAACCCTCACATGAGGAGCATTGACGTGGTATTCACAGCTACTAGCATGCTCCATAGAAAATTTCGAAGAAGTGGTCGACAAATTTGTAACCACCCCTGCTGGAGCCAAGAAGGCCGAGGCGAGAGTAAACGACATATTCGCCATCAGGCAGTCTTTGGAGGGGGGCTAAGGGACTTCCTCGCCCCATTCAACCGGGTAAGGATGACTCTACCAAACATATCCGAAGGAATGGTGGTCGCAGCCTTTCAGAACGGGCTGCGTAGAGATGGTTCGAGAGCAACTAGGAAACTGTTGAGTTGGCTGATGAAGTATCCCCCAACCACTTGGGACGAAATCCACAATGCTTTTTGCGTCGAGGTCCATGCGGATGAGGACGACCTCAACGGGCCAACTCATCGACTAACCTTAGTACAAGCTGAATCTAGAAGAGATCAAAGAGACAACACCAAAAGAGAACATCTGATTCTGTGACCCAACAGGGAATGACATCAACCATATATCAGGACGGCCGCTACACCCCCCCCCCCCCCCCCCCCCC